GTGAAATATTTACTTAAACGAATTCTGGGGAGCCTGTGAGTCTTGAAACACCGAAAGTAGAATTAATTTGTGACTTATAGGTATGTCAAAAACTTTCGGCGTTACAGGTTATATACGCAAATAAATTTAACTTTGTCACAAAAGTTGTTAACACATGTCCATTTTCATGGCAGCGACACTATTAACTCCGAACAAAATCCCTAACAAACTCAATTTACATATGCAGGCTCTAAAGCCATTAAATTTCGTGTAAGTCCTGCTTTGACCGAATTAATTAGAAAATCAATTATTAGATTAAAAAACTGAGAAAATTGCTAAATCGATGTAAGAATAATTATTAACGCAGAAGATTGAATTTCGCATTTTTTGTTTTCGTTTTATGCTGCTACATAATATACAGGCTGTTTCATAATTAAATCTGACAAGTTCAGAAATCGTACTAATAATATTCATGGGTTGTCAAATGACTTTAATCAATTTGGTTTTAGTTTTTGTGGTGACAATAGTAAATAATATGAAATGGTTTGAATGTGATAATAATCCTTAATATTTTTTTAATTGACAAAAAAAAAAGACACATCTAATTCTGCTCTTCTTTTACGTAAAACCTAAGATTCCATATACGTGTCCTTACAAAAATGTTGTTGACGTCATCACAAAATTTTGGCAAGGAAAAATTTTTCTCTTAAAAAATAAAATTCGCAAAATTAAATTTTATAACTTTTAGAAAAAAGTGGATTTATTGTATTTCAGGGACGAGGGAAGTTCTGTCGAGTAATTTTTAAAAATTTTCACTGATCTATTTTTAACTCGTTTAAAAAAGTAGTAGTCTAAAATTTAGAACGGTCAATCAACACAAAAAAAAAAACGATATAAAATCAGTAGATCGTATCATTTTTGGGAAATGATCTCAACTTCTTTTTGAAAATAAATTGTAGTGTAGGAGGGTTAAATAAAATATTTTTTATTTTTTTTACTGGTATAATAATTGTTGTTTGTTTGATAAAGGGCTTTAGAAAAAATTTTTCCATGGGAATATTATAATTTCAAAAATATATATTTTTTTAAACTTGGCGAAAATGATACTGACAGCCGAATTTCTGAAAATAGACAAAACCTCCTCTGCAAGTAAATAAAAATTGGTCTAAGATTATTTAAAAAGAACTTTCCTCATCCCTGAAATACAGAAAAATTATAAAATTTGATTTTGCAAATTAATTTTTTTTATGATAATTACAAAATTTTGTGATTACGTCATCAATATTTCAGCAAGACACAGAAGAATTGATTAATAAAAAAAATTGCCTCTTTCATTAATTTTTTGAGTCACCCCCTACAAGTTCAGAATTGTTAACCTCAAGTATCACACAATATTTTAGGCATTTTGGATAGAATTTATTCGGCAAAATTTTTAGATAACGTCATAAATTTTTTGGGAGGGGATAAACACATACATCTAGGATAAAAGATCAAACCGGATTCATAAACCACACGTACAGTAGTATGTGAATTTGAAAGCCATTCATCGGATGGACCGTATTACGATACTTTCCTCGTCTCTAACGCACAATAGAGGTGGTTTGATTACACAACTGGTTCAACATTTTACAAGATTAAAAATTACACATTAAGTAAGATTAAAGGTTAACTACAATTATTTTCAACTATACAAGTGTTCCGTTCATCCTATATATTTTTAGACGTTCTGATTGGTTTCGTCATGAGCTTTATAACCAAATTTTTTTCTGGAAATTATAAGTTTACTAACGTACGCAGCTTAAGGGCTGATTTTATTTTCAAAAGAAAACGGTAATTGTTAGTAAGCAATCATCTGTTAGAATTAACCCGGGATGGAAAAAAGACCGTAAATCTTTATAATATTATAATTTAGATAAAACTGCGCGGGCTACCACATTATTATCAATTATCATACTCGAGTGATTACATAACTCGGCTAGCGCCTCTTTATGAATAAACTTCACACTCGTGGGTAATTACGTTTTTATCCCATTCGTAACGTAAATAATTATTATAGAACATGTAAAGTTCCGCTTCGTTAATGATTATTTTATTCATTACACTTTCCAAAGGGTATTATTAACATTTTCTTCACACGTACACGTTGATATGTGCTTTTTAAGTGAACCGCCCTGTATAACTGCAAGCGAATAACAAACAATTCCACAAAGAAATCTTAAAAAACATCCCTCAACCCCCAACCAAATCTCTTACATCGTGGCCCTCCTCAGCGGCCTCTCCCCCTGCCCGCGGCCCACCGCCCCATCCCAGCTCCTCGCCGGCGGGCACACGTTCGAAGACAAACAGTCCACCGAAGAGAAGTGCCAGCTGTGCCTGGCACCCTTCAACGACGCCGAAGAGTACATGTCCGGCGGCGGCGGCGGCAGCACGGCGCACTTTGATCACGACCACACACTCACGCACGCCCCTTACGCGCTCGCCCCGCGCTCCCCTATGCAGCAGCGCGTGCAACCGGCGGCGGCGAAACAAACACACGGTCCACTGAAGAAGCGAAAGCACACAACAGCACGCGGTCGTCGTCGAGCTTGCATCGGAATCACCGCTCCCGCCGCGGTGGTAGGGGAGACGTGGCCTCTAGCGCCCCCTGGACTTAGGGTCAATCTCGTGCGCGACGCGACGAACGCGCCGTTCGGCCGAACTCGGAAACACCTGTTTGATGATGCGATGGCACGGCAGAGGTGGATAAATGAATACGCGAAAGTGAATCGAGATGGGAGAGTTACGTAAAGATGGATGCTGCCTTGAACTCGGCCGGAATTCCGAGCTGACCTTTGCGAGAGGTGGCGGTTTTGGACGGGTTTTTGTTGTGTCGGACAAGGTCGGAGAGTTTTTAGGCGGCTTTGGATGACGCATAGCATCTCGTGGACGGTAGATAAGGTAATCGCGGGTTATTAACGTAAAGACTTTCAGACAAGGGTCGTACATTAATTGTCTTTTTTTTTAGATAGTTTCAGGTTGTTCTGAGTCCACTTTTCGCCTGATGGAAAGTTTTAAAACTACAGTACAACAATTTTTTTTACAAAACTGTTATTTTGTTTTATATACAAGTACATATATTCTGAATGATTAAAACACTTCAAAACTAATATCTACCTAGAATTAAAACTGATAGTTCGACTTCTGGTCTCAGTGGAAGCGAAGGCAAATTTTGTCTGCTTTTTTGAACTTGTTTAGAAAAAATACAAATTTTACAGTACGTAAACCAAATTTTCGGAAAATTTTGAATTATACCTGTATATATATATTATTAACGCCGTAAAAAAGCACTTTTGAGAATACGCTTAAGTAATATATCTTTTCGTCCAACAATAATCTATTTAAAAGTTGTGAGTATTTTTGAAAAGCTCTAAGACGGATTTTTATTTTCACAGAAAAGTAATATTTTCAAAATAAAAATAAAAAACGTAAACACCAATTACGTCGTATTCCTAAACCATCTTTCTTTGTAACTACAATTTCACTTCTAGGATTATTTTTGCTTCCTGATGTTTTCTCGACGTTTCGTATTTTCCAGAATATAAAAAAATGGGTGTCCCGTTTTGTCTGTTTTTCGTTTGACGACTGCTGGTGATTTTGTCATACAGACAATCTCCAAAACTACTGAACTTATTATAGTCAAATTTTGAAAAGATCTAAGTTATTACCAAATACTTTATTTTTAACTTTATGTATGTAAAAAAAAAACATGACTACGAAACCGATTGTTTTGAAATTTTGCACACTTATTAAAGTTGTTTAATTTTATTGAATAAATCTTGCTTGAAATCTGTCGTATGATATGTTCTTTATTTGTGGTGTAATAATACATTTAATAATTTAAGAAATATTTGTTTTTATTTTGCCAATATACCAACACATACTGGTTTCGACGGTAATGTTTTCGAAATAAGTAACTGTACACTGCAAAAAAATGCATTCAAAAATAATATATACAATATACATAAAACTATGTACACAGAACTATGTGCTTTTAAGTGCAAATGATGATACATGTCGCTGTAAAAAATACTAATATGAACGAGTTTTCGCATTTAATAATTGTCATGAAATTTTAAAATCCCTGCAACTAAAACATCGAAATTTCAAATAACGTGTTTAAAAACGCTTCAATTAATCACAATCGGTAATTACTGCAGTGAGTGGGTATTTATTGTGAAAAACCTTTAATTTTTACGACAAAATATATTTTATTTCATGAACAATAACAACTGCAATAACCATTTTGACTCATGTACAATTTCACGTCTCGTAGTCTCCGTCTGTCGGTCTGTTAGCGATCGACATATTATTTCCGAAATGAGTATTATGAACTTTAGAATTAAAGTTTTCAATTGGTTTATCCATCCTCTCCAAAAAATCGATGACGTCAGCTCGAAATTGATTTAAGTAAAGTGTTCGCGCAACCTAATACGGTCGCCGCGTGCCAAAAACTCCATCCTGCCACATCCACGACCTTTGCGTTATTTCTGTGACCCGTTAATATTGTATGACGATTTAGTGGGGTGAATGTTGACCCGAATCCAAGATAACTATATCTTCCTGTTAATTTATTTATCTAATGTTGACGACAAAAATCGATGGTCTGAACCAGGGGCGCAACCACAGCTCGGTAAAAAGGACACGCAAACGCAACAGCATGCAGGGGCGTAGATTTGATCTTACCTGTCTACCACACAACAAATCTCACTAATAATGTACGTAGTGCTCATTTCTCTTCTTACAAAAACCAAAAAACAACGTCAAAAATACATCAAAAAAATTACAAAAAACGTTAAACCATCATTACCGATGAGACATGACCATGAACGATGTGACGGTACAGGGGTGGAACAATCTACAAAGGTTAAAAAAGGGTTGGGGTTCAACCCATTCATTGTGCTGTTGTTTGATGCGATGATGAGTGTGGTTTAACATGAAACAATAAGATGTTCAAAACATTCAAATTTTGGAAAGCACTTTACCCCAAGTGTGGAGACAACTCTTCTTCGCTAACTTCACCGACCACCGGTAGGGCACTAGAGAATAAAATAAGAGTAGTCTAGTGAATTATGGCAAGTAAAAGTAACAAAAAAGTTAAAGACATGTACATCACGTATATAACTTCAGAGTAAATTAGCAGCTTAAGTTGAATACTTCAGAAAGCTCAAAGTAAGCGAAGAGTAGAACGAGAAACGAAAAGAAGTGAAATACAGAAAAAGTGAAGTAAGTTTCGCCCGTTACAACGCTATCTTCACTAGATTTTTCATCTTTGTTTAAGAGTGAACCGTCGTCAACTATTTTTCTTTTTGAAAGAAGAATCATATAATAAGAGAATAATCGATTTTGTTTGTATGTGTCCTAACATCAGTGTAACTATGTAGCTAGATGGCGTCTTGTGTTGTGTAAATAATCGAGGCATACTTTCCTGTTTAACTTCCAATTAATTACACTGAACTTTATTTATTTGATATAAAATTCTCAGCTTATCGGACGCTATGATGCAGGAAATTAATTGGAAAATCCTCACGTAAACCCCTGTCTAAATCACTCAAACTGCTCCATCATCCCACAGACATTTTTTTTAATGCAGACCTGCGTAATTAATATCCTTAATTGACAACTTTTTGCTTCATGACTTCAGAGAATTTTTGCTCTGTCCACGTAAAAACGCCACCTCTGAACCCCATAAACATTCCCAGATTAATGCACACCAAACAATAAATTCTGCATTGCTCATTATGCAGCTTTCCTCGAACCCGTTCATCTTCGTTCCAAAATGAACTTTCAAACCGTACACCAGCATTACCGAGCATAAACCCGCCGTGAACTTTACGACGTCCGCTTTAAATATTTTTTTCTCGATCACGTGAAGACACAAAAAGCTCATTTTTCGTAGAAGAAGCCCATCCACTACCTACGTTCAAACAAAATACGACCTTCGCAGCAAAGATTTGTTTTCGGAGCCATATAAAACAGCTGTTCTGTCTGATTGAAACGGAAGCGTAACAAGGAGGGTGTAAAGCGAGACAGGTAAATGTATGGATAAGGGAATGTTGTCGTAGGGGATGGTGTACGGGGACTGAAAACGTGATTGTGCTGCATAGTAATGCCGGGATGTATTGATTTTCGGTTGTGCATTATTGATGGCGTGTTATCGTTTCATTTGTTTTTTATTCCAGTCTCTGCAAAGGGAAAGGACGGTAGTTTTTGCGAAAATGCAAGGGTCGTGTTTAAAAATGGAAATTACTGACGCCAAGGTCGATTAAAATAAAATTTACTGTGTACGTATGGGGTGGTGGATTTTCTCTTGTGATTGTGGAAAATATATTGCGGTGCTTTGTGCCGATTAGATAATTTACCGATTTCGGGGTCATTAAAAACAACTAAAATTAACGCATTTTAAAGTTATGTGGCTTCTTTACCCGATTATTATTTACATAGACACTTATTTCTTGTTTTGAATATTCTAAGACATGTTTAATATTTATAAAGTTTGAATAACAGGGTGACTCAGAAAAAATAATGAATGCGTGAATTTATTTTATTGATTTAATCAGGAACTGCAAAACAGAATACTTTGAAATCTTAGAGATGCTTTAAAGTCATTGTAAGCGTGGTTGATCAAAATAAATCTGTTCATTCCCCCAAAAAATTGATGACGTTATTTCAAAATTTTGCCGAATAAATTGATTTATCATTGCAATCATATTTTTTAGATTTGCTTCAATAAGTGGCTCCAAAAAGTTAATCAATGAGCCAATTTATTTTATTAATTAAATCAGGAACGGTTCACTCCGTTCTCCCAGAAAATGTTAGGAATACAATACTGTTATTTTTCAATTTTCATTTTACGGGGCGGGGTTAAATTTATCTTTTTTTTTTTAGTTTCATGAGCAAGCAGTAGTACCGCCCACCCACCCCTTCTTCGTTCCAATGACTACTCTTAATATTGTTCAGTCCTTACTTAGCAAGTTTTAGCCTCGCCCATCCACCCTTGTTTTTTTTTCTTAGAAGATATGTCAATTACCAAAATCAGTCTTATCTTAACAAGTACTAGATCTATTTTCTTAGAGGATATGTCGTTTGCCACAATCAGTCTTATTTAAGCAAGTACTAGACTGCACTAATCCAAGTTTATATACGTGTCCTTGCAAAAATGTTGATCAGGTCATCGTAAAATTGCGTAAAGTAAAAACTCAACTCGAAAATGCTGGATATGTTTCATTGCACTTTCGGTACGAGGGAAGTTCTGTCAAACAACTTTCGACCAATTTTTATACATTCTACTACCTTATAAGCTTAATGTCACGTACGTTTCACGTGGGCACAGCATAATGGATTTATACATCAAAAGACTTGAAAAATTCTACTGAAAATTATGAATATGATTCGGACTGATTGACAGTTAAGCCAACATTATCATTAGAAATAAATAAATGGCACTGGCTTTCGTTTCATGCTTGAAATTTAATTATGCCATGCGTATGTGATAACATTTCACTGTATATACTGTTCAACATGCCATTAAACCTTTCTTTTAACATAACTTGTGTCATGGTGGCTTGCCTACACTCTCTCATTGACTTAACTTGTGTCAAGTTACGACCGACTTTTCAGCCGATTTTCTCAAAAAAGTCGTGGGTGAGTAGATCAGAAAAATCACCAGGTCTCTTCGTGGGTTCTGTAGTAGAGTAGAAATACAATGAGAAGAACATGTTAAGTAATTACATCTAAGAAATATATTTTCATGGAAAATAAGTTTTAGTTTTGAAAATAATTACTGCTGACGATACGACCACTACAGTTTGTTGTGTTCTTCTCAAAGTACTTCCACCCTACGATTTATTTCAGGAAAAATTTAAAACTGCCCTAGTTCTCCGACTTTTAATTTCTTTTGAAATTTAATATTTATTAGCAATTTTAAAATGGACAGAAATATCAACTACACACTAAATTTCAACAACACGATTAAATTTTAGCAGGAATCGGCGCAATTTGGTATTAGCTTTCAGACTTTTATCGGCGCAGTTAGGACATACCTATTTCTGGCCCTCGCACTTAGTGCCATTGGTGCATAAAATATGTAATGGGGAGTTAGTTAACGAGATTAGAATTAATTTATTAAATTGAAGTACTATAATTTGTATTATTTACTGACTGCCCTGATTTATTTTATGGTAAAAAGGGTGCATAAATACCTTCTATTGCATTAAATTAAATTACTTTTGCTGACAGAAGCCACCATTAATCTTCTAATTTTATTAATGTGTCATTCTAGCTGGACAGTAGCTGTTAATTTGTTCGAAATTATTGTAGATAGATAAATCCATCAAAATCAGGAGCGAAAAAACACTGGAAACAAGTCATCTTTTATTACGCAAATTGGATGCAATAATCCATTGTAGTTTCGTGCATCCGGAAAAAATACGGCACACTTGCAGAACTTTTATTGCTTACTTTATGCGAAAGAATCCAGATATTTTTATTTCTTTAAAAAAAAAAATGGGATTACATAGACGGGGAAAAAAGAGCAGGCAATAATAAAATTGGGATCATAGGTAGCTAAAACTATAAGACTATAAGTGCAATAACGGGCAAATTACAAATTCTTAATAAAAAATACCCTTCGAGCTCCTTTATAGATTTATATTATGTTGACAGGATGATAACTATACCACTATACTAATAAAAAACACAATCAAAGACAGACATGGATTTTTGAGGATTTGTCTCTGATAGAATTTTCGTCTTGTCAGATCGCCAATTTGAAAGTTGAATAGAAAACGTAACGATCAAAAAAAAACTTTCAAAAAACCATGGCTGTCTTTGACCGTGTTTTTATTGCTCTTTGCTTTTATTATAGAGATGAAGAATGACTCATTTATTCTGACTCTGTGGTGTGAACAAAGTTTCGGCTAGGTATCGCAGCGGTGCTAGATTTTTTATTTAAATTTATGCTACTTTGATCATTGGATTTTCTCTGCAGTTGTATTACTGTTGCCAAAACTAGTTCAACCAATATCAAAACAAAGAGGAAACAAGAAATTTGTTTAACAAATCGATTCACTCCGTCTAATTTAATTAGCCTTCTCGTGAACGCATCTAAGAAAACATCGACCATGAACAATTTGTTCTCGGCTCCTATACGTGCGTCTAGTAATTGCATCAAAGCTGGAATGTTAATCTATACTACCGCAACTTCAGTTAACTCATTTAGCGTTAACAAACACATTAAGCCATTATTTACCATTTAATCGACACACGTGGATCGTCTTTGTGCGTATACCTTGCCTTGCCTCGCCAAAGGGATCAAAAATAAAACAGTAGCAAAAACAGACCTTGTTCTGATACAATTATAAATTCTATTTCCTTCCACATTACGCTCACGTTTGTACTGTTGAGATTAAAATGAAATTTTTATTTGCCATACGAGTGTTTTCAGTATATTTATTTTAAGCTCCTTTTGAGTGTCTGCTAGACTGATTGGATAACAGAGATTTTGAAGCTACAAAGCTGAATTTTCAGGCGACGTAACCGATCGGCGATTCAGTTTTTCCTTTACTTATTAAAAGCTCGGTCGAGTGTACGTAATTATCTTAACCGGCAAAGGGGAATACTAATTAAAACCCGTACACAGGAAATTTTTACTCTATTTTTGTTCATTTCGGCTATTGATTGTTGTCGTGTTTTTCGTTTGGTTCGTGATTTTCTCCCGCAAAAAATAAACAACGTCCTTCAACGGCAGCAATCCCGACAAAAAATAACCGGTAATTTCGGGTTTTTCACTACAGATGTGTTTCTATGTTTCGAAAGGTTTAAAAATAGAGAAAGCGTCTTTCATTATCGAGTTTTATAAACAAATTTAAAAATTTAATGTTGCCGTCGATCGACAGGAACCTCTCCTCTTTGTTGAGCAAATAAACAACTGACAAAATGATTTTTCTCGGAAAGAAGTTGTGCACACTGCATCGAATAGTAGAATGCATTCACGATTTCGTTATTTTTATGCCAGATTTTGTCAAAGGCATCGAGTTCG